AATTGTTGATACTAGAATTATAGAATTAAGGTTTACAATCTTATTATATCTTTTATTACTTTGTTTGCATAAATCATTATCTTATAATCTTTTCTATTACATATATTTAGGTATGAATCTACACTATTGGATGTACAATTATTGAAAAATGATAGTCAATCACGATCTATTGCCTTTGATGACATTAATGAAAATAGGCAAACAATAAATCAATCGATAAAAATCAACTTGCAGAATTCAAAGGTTAAACAAGATCCACAAATCAATTCATTTGGTAAATCTTATTTTTAAATTTTAAAACCTTTTTTGTGCTATTTTACATTATATATTTTGTTTTTCTATAATAATTTATAGGACCTATTCTTCACATGTTGGGTCAAAATAATAGAAATTTATATTTCTAATAGGTGGTTCTATGATTCTTGTAATGAATGTCCAAAAAGTTTGAGATTAATCAATAGTTGATATTTTTGTTCAAATGCAAAACATGGACTAGTTCCAAATCTTTCATGATCACATATTCTTCTATCTTATTTCAAACATTTAGATTTATTGAAATATATTTACTTTATTCTTTTATTTTATATAACTAACTTATCCTTTTATTATTAAATATTCCTTCAATTACAAACTTTCTATAACAATTGAAAATGAAATTGGCACCACAAAATTAGTTTGCTTTAGTTCAATAACTGAAAAACTCATTGAAAAAACAATTAAATAGATTGCTGTAAAAGAAATACTTGACAAAATGGTCTTTTCCTACGATGATAAAAAATCTTATTGACCAAGAGAGAATTTTCAAGATCAATTTGACAAAACAGGCAACTGGTGGAAGCATTTCATCTACTTTGCTTATTTAAGCAACACAAGATGTTAAATGTGAAGCAACCATGGAAGAAGAACTGACAACTACACAAGCAATCTTCAATTTTTCAATTGATTTGTTCCCTTCTAAAATGCCTTCAAGATCATAAGGCATTAGATTTTTCTCATTTTCACTACTTTTGATATCTAGATATAAATAAGCTTAAAATAGGTTCTTTAAACATTTAAATCATTTTTTACAACTTTAATGACATCATGGTTTTATTTTTTGTATTGAATTAATGCATTGTCATTTTTTTTTTCTTTTTACATCTTTCAGCATAATCAAACCAACTTTAACCATAATGAAAAAAAAGTGTTAGCTTAGGAGAAATTACCACCAATCAATAGTTGCAAAAAAATTGAGTTTCAGGTTTGAATATAAGTTGAAAACAAATGGTCTTGTCAATTCATTTATATATTTATTCCCTTACAAATTATATCCAATTTTCTTGATTTTAAAACCCACATTTTTCATACTTTTATTCTACTTTGTAGCTAACAAAAAGAATTTACTACACCAACTATGAAACTAAGTGCTGAAAAAGAAATCACTTTTGATGACCTTGCATTGAAAAATTAAAGACAAGATAATGTTTCTTATAAAATAAAAGTGTGATATTAGAAATAACAAAAAAAAAATAACAATTCTTAATTTTTAATGTTCTTTTAGTTTTACTCTTTATTTAAATATCTTAATATCTTTATGACCATTTATTGTTCATCATTTTTTTCCACAAGGGTAAAGAGCCAAAAAAGAGTCATGACCTATTAAAAGATCATGTCAGCAATCCCTTGCATCCAAATCTTCCTACTTTGTTACGTTTAATTTTTTAATTACTTCTTCTAAATTCATTGATTATGAGGAATGCTAGACATATCATACCATAGTTATTTTTGGCATATTATCATAATACTTACTTCAATCACTTTTTCTCACTTATGCAAATAGTGAGTATACTTATTTTCATATCTATTATTGTTGGTTTATGAAGCAAACAATCACTGAATCATCTTTTTTCTAGATCAGAAAGCTGCTTAACATATTATAGCTCATTAAAAGTGAAGATTATTCAAAAGGTTGAAAACTATGTTTATCATGAAATCACCATTTATTTTGTCCTTTTTTGAACTTATATGTATATGTGGATCAATGATAACATTCATACTATAACCTTTTAAATATATCAGTTTGTTTAATCTTTATGTGCTAATTGTTTATTCGATTTTATTCTTCACATCATTAATATTGCACTTATTATGCTAAATATTATTTCTAACTTATTAATATTCCTTTTTATTTAGAATGCAACTTTTATAAATGTATCATTGTCATAAAATGTTATAAGTAAAACCATATATTTATGATTGTTTTTTCCTTGCTTCACTTATAATTTTTTGACTTTTCAGATGTCAATTTTAGATTATTGCAACAGAAAAATCCTAATTCAAATTGGTAAAAAAAATAAACATTGATGACTAAAAAAAATAAAAGATGAACTGTTTGAAAACCTTGTCAACCTTGATCATGTTTCAAAGTTTTTCAAGATTATGCTTCAAGAGGATGTCTCTCAAGATTCCACTCTAACAAAATTGTTTCACTATAATTTCCCTCTTTTCTATTTTTTTTCTTGCATTTTAAATCATTAAAACTAATGAAAGCATATATATTTTATCATTTATCTTAATTTTGCTTGACATTTCAACCAGATGCTCTTTGTATACTATTTTTTTGATTATTTATTATGCTTTTAGTATGCATATGATTGTTTTGGTCGAATTATTATATTAATTGTAATACATTTTTAAAAAAAGTTTCCTGATTGTAGAAAACTTTTTAAAGTTTTGTAAATAACATAATTCCTTTTTTTTATCTTGTGTTCATTATTTTTGTGAAATATTTTTTTAGCTGATTTACCACCTATTAAAAAATATAATCAAATTTCTCTTCGTTATCTCATTTACACACCATTGAATTCAAACATATTAAACAAATTCTTAGTTTAATATATGTATATATATATATATATATATACTTTTTTTGGTTTGTTTGATTGTATTTTCTACTAAATATATTATCAATATAAATTTGTAATAAAATATTAATTAATTTCTATTATGTTGTCTATTATTTTAATGTTATACAATTTAACTCTATATATTTTAAATTTGTTACTACTTGCTAAAAAAAAATAACAGCTTTATTTGTATGTTTTATATGTATGGTTTACACGTGTATATATATATATATATATATATATATATTCAAGACAAAAAGGAACAAACAAAATTTACTGATTTGTTTTTCTTTGATGATTGGTGTACAAACATAAGTTAATTTTGATTAACAATATATGCATCTTTCTTCTCAAATCTATATTGATAAATCATTTCAAATAAACATTATGGTTGCAGAGACTTCCAATGGATTGTATGTAGACACACCTACAATATGTTAAGACTCAAACAGCTATATTTCTTAAAAGTTTGCTCCCTACTCGATTTAAAATACGTTTAGTTAAGATCAATATGCAATTATGCTTTTAAAATAGTTGGAAAGATTTTATTGATGCACATTGCTTGCAATGTAATGATTTATTCACATTGAAATACAACAATTAAGGATGATATCAATTTGAATAGGATCAGAATCAATTTGATTTTTCGGATAATGCATAGTATTATAAATTTTTAAAATTCGATCCGAATTCAAATCGACTTTTTCTTGAAACCACAATCTGAACTGAATTCTACCAGTTTGGTTCATCGATTTTTAAATTTTAAATTTTTTTATATATTATTTCAATAGATTTATATATAAAGTAATTATTTTATTTTTAAAAAATTTTAAAAATATATAAAAATAATAAAAATATATAATTCAGTTCAGTTCAATTTTTTTTCGGTTTTCTTAGTTTTTTTCTCACCCCTAGCAAAAATGATGCAACTTTTCATGCTTTTCTATATGTTGGAACTGGTATTGTTACCATAAAAAAATCCTTCGAGCAAGAATAGGTAATACCTTGATTTCAAATAACTTTAATTTATAAGAAATGTCATGTTCTCTTTTTTTTTAACTTTTGTTTTATTTATGTTCATAACTGAAAATAAACAAACAAATTAACCAACTTTTTCAAAGAGCAAAAACAAAAGGGTATTGCAAAAACAATGGCTACAAAAATTATTTATTTTGATGATACAACTTTTAAGTGAGATTATCATGTCAAAACTGAGTTTGATAAGAATGCTAATATTGAAAATGATAACCGTGGTTTTGACTATCCAACATTTGAACATACCATGACAAAGATAAATATTTAATCATCATGCATTTTGATAATATAACATATATAAACTACTTTCATATGATTTCTCTTACACTTAAATAATTTAAATGTTTGAATGACATATGCATTAATAATTGTTAACCATCATTGTATTCTTCTTAATTAAAGTTCAACTTTTTTTAAAATGAAGCATATCCCAGCTACATCTTACAAAAAATATGTTTCACCATATGATGTTGATGTTATCTTGATGGTCCGGAAAAATTACATAGGCTAGTTTGTTCGATTCAAATACTCTACTAAAAATAAGGCTTTTTTAATAGTTGAAGAAAATTTATAATAAATAATTATTTAAATCTTTATGATCGTTGTTTTTTTTAAATGATTTAAGAAGGCATATTTTATGTCATTATTTATAACCAGATATGTAAAACTTAACATATCATGTTTAGTCTTTTGCATAAACAACCATATTACTTTTTAGCCATTAAAATTTTGTTTTTTAACAATAGCTTACACCTCTTTTTTTGCTATCTTATGATCTTTTTGTAATATCATCTTTAAGCAGTTGTGATTTGATGTTAACGATTTTATATACTTTATATTTATATTTATTTTTTATTTTATTAAATTTAATCATTTTAGCAAAAAAAAAAAAAAAACCCTCAGTATAGCACGGGCATACCGTAGTTAATATTAATGATATGTAAATCTGAAAATGTGAAGATACTTAAAAGAAAAGAAAGAAAGAAATATGGACCGCATAAAAATACCAAAAAGAAAGAAGGAATCTTGACAACAGCCAATGTGTCACTGTTTTGTTTGGTACCGTAACTAAAACAGCATAGGCCGTGTAACAGTGAATAACTTTACTCGGATAACATCTGTTGGAGTGAGAGGATTGAACCTCTGCTTCAATCTTCACACTCCATTTATGGCTTCCCTCTGCTCCAATCTTCACACTCCATTTTCCTTTCTGGTTCTTCCCCGCCAAAATACGGTTTCCAGTTACTTTTTCATCAAGTAGGTCATCATCTTTATTTAAATTATTCTATAATTATATATATATATTTTTTTCAGTTTTCAGGTCTTTCCATTCGCTGTTAAAAACCCATTTTTTGTCTGTCTATATTACTTCTGGGTTCGTCCATATCCACGGGTTTGATTTAGTTGGTGGTTTTTCTGTCTTACTCCCCCCATTTTGTTGTTAATGAGTGTAAAGATAGGTTTTTTTAATCCAAACCCAGATAGAATCTTATGGTTTCTAACCATTTTATGTCTTATACTTGATGAAACTTAGATAACCTATTCGTCATCAAGGATGATGCAATTTCTGAAATTCTGAATCGTATTCTTTGTTTTCAGTATCTGGGTAAAATTCAATCTGAGAAGGTCGCCAACAACGAGAACATTAACTTGCAAGATAGCAAGTTCAAGGGGCCCTGACAGTGAGAGGGTAGTCAAAAGTAAGTTTGAGAAAACCATGGCGAAGCAGGGAGACAAAAAATTTGTTCATGAAGGTTTAATTACCGAATCACTTCCCAATGGTATGTTTCGAGTTCTTTTAGACAATCAAGATTTAATTCTAGGTTATCTTTCCGGAAAGATAAGAAAGAATTTTGTACGTGTATTGCCTGGAGACAGGGTTAGGGTTGAATTGAGTCCTTATGATTCAACCAAGGGACGTATAGTTTTTAGGCTTCGTAACAAGGATGCAAGTGGATAGAAGGATAGATTTCCAAGAAATCTATGCTCTTGCAATTAGTTATTAGGAATTGAGGTGAGGAACCTCCAACTATGAAAACAGGGTTCTGTGGAGTATAGGAGAAAAAAGGCGTTTCGATATCCTTTGAGAAGCACCTCAGTTGATCGATAAATTGGTTCATCGATATGGCAATGAGTTTCTTGGTAACTTGTCTTAGATTTGGACAAGTTTTACCTTCTCTAGGAGCTTGAATGATTTAGAGATTGGTGATAATTAATCTTGTAAAAGAATGAGTTTTATGATCTTTATCAACCTTTCTTTGAATAGTTTCAAGAATGAATTTCTTTGCTTGAATTGAATTGTATTTATTTTTTTAAATTGGTGAATTTTCATGCACAATTTACATCTTTACGAAAATTTATTGCACACGGAACTTCTTGAATTCAAGGAATCCTTAGTAGAAATATTAACTATGTTAAAGAGGTTGAATTAGAGGGAAATAAATTTATTACTAAGTTTTCTCACAAACAGGATAAAAAAATGAAACCCTGTTTTCAATGAGCGGAAAGCTGATGATACTGCCAAGATGCGATCCTCGTGGGCCCAAACCTCGTTCTTAAATTTACAGCGGGGAGTAGCAGTCAGTCTGTGTCTGCCCAAGCCCATGATGACGTAATTAGCCCCGTTGAGATGACATAACTTATACGATTTACATTTTTATTTGGATTAATATCATCGATAATCTTCAAATTATAGTAATAAAATTTTTAATGAAAATAATTACAAATGATGATACGTGATTGATAAATAATTTTTTAATTATTATATTAATTAATAAATTTATAATTTAAAAATTAAATTATAAAATTTATGTATCAAATTAAATATTTTATTATAAATTAAAGATTATAGGAGTTATTATCTTCTTTTAATCAAAATTATTAGTACTACAGCAATTGGTGAATTGCTAAAAAAAAAGAAAAATTTAAAAACGCTAGCGAAAACCCTTTTTGATTCCTATAGGCCGCCTTAAGAAGAATTCATCATTCACCTACCAAAAACAACCAAATGGATTTTTTACTAAAAATCAAACTCCGTGTACACCACTAATCTTTCCCCAAACTTAAATTTAAAAAACATGTTATTGTGATAAAGACGATTGACTTGAGTTCATTATTATTATTATTATTATTTCATAAAAAACTTTTTAAGGTACATGAATCAAATATAGAACAGGAGATAACCTAATTATTTCATACAACAATGAGCGCCAATTCTCAATATTCGAAGTTAAGAGTTTCTTAACTAGTTTTGATTGTTGAGTTGCCTCTTGGGGGCCAGAAAACTTACATGACGTCAGAGAATGGTAAGAAAATAACAATAAACTGGGAGAACCAAGTGTTCCAAACACAAAGAAACCAATTTCCTATTTCTCCATCCAGAACTTATGGAAAAGGACAGCATTCAATTTGCAGCTAATACCTTAATTATATGTTTCAGATCAAATCATTCTGCTTGGTCTATTTGATACTTAAGGAATCCCATGGTGTATATCATCTTAAAATCTTCACATCTAAATTTAAATTTTCTTCGTTATAAACCAAAGTATCAGACTGCCATCACAATCACAATATAGAGAAATTTAGTCCATTCCAATTTGCTCAAATATGTGCCTTGATTTAATTTCAGATTGTTGCCTTGCCTTCATATGTAAATTCCAATTTGTTCATTATCGAAGATTGACTCTAAACCTGTCACCCTTCATTTGTAAATTCCATCATACTCAGTCACAAATGTTAATATTTTAATGGTGCAACTATGGTGACAGTAGTAGGTAGCAGAGACAAGCATAAGCAGAAAAGTCTAAAATGGAGGATTGATATCATCATTTTTGCATATCAGGCACAAGGTGCTCTGTCACTTTGAATATGGGACTGAATTTATTGTTCTTTAACTAACGACTTTCACGCAAATCCATGTAGCAGGCTCTATATAAAAGGGGACGCCACAGGTGGAGAAAACCACCTCACAATTGCTAGCTGAACTAGAAATTCATTTATTAAGATTTTGACACTCCCTCTTATTCTCTTTTTTTTTTTTTTTGATATAGTGTTAATTTAAAATATGATGCATCTCACATTAAATTAAAAAGTTTAATTATGGTTGAATAAAATTAATTTTTGTATTAATTTTATTCATATTTTAAATAATTATATTTAAATAAAAATAATTATCAAATAATAAATGATTATAATTATTTGAATATAAATAGATTATTATTTATAAATATCATGATTACACAAAAGGTCATAACTATATGAATAAAAGTTTATATCTGTTATTTATTATAAATAAATATTTCAATATAACCATTTTCACTGCTTCTCATTTTAGAGTTTGAGATTTTATTATATCTTAAAAGTAAAATTACCTTTAAAAAAATATTCTTCACGCTTTAAAACTAAATTTTTTTATATTATTTTTTTTCTCTTATTTATTTTTTTTAATAATTATTATTGGTAGTTTAGAATGTGATGCATTTCACATTGGATAGAAATTTTTAATTATAGATGAATAAAATTAATTTTTGTATTAATTTTATTTATATTTTAAATAATTATGTTTGAACAAAAATAATTATCATATGATAAATGGTCATAACTATTTAAGTATAAATAAATTATTATTCATAAATATCATGATTATACATAATGTCATAATCATTTGAATAAAAATTTATATCTGTTTCTTTATTATAAATAAATCTTTCAGTATAATTATTTTGAATGCTTCTAATTAGAGAATTTAAGGTTTTATTATTTTTCAAAAGTATAATTATTTTTAAAAAAGTATATTTCATGCCTCAAAGCCAAAATTTTTTTCTATTATTTCTCTTTTCTTATTTATTTTGTCTAATATATAGAGGCAATGGCATCAAACTGTTGCATTCTTCTTTCATTTTTCATGGTTCTTGTTGTATCCTCAGTCTATCCATTCAATAATAAGCAATATAAACCATGCAAACAGTTAGTTCTCTACTTCCATGATATTATTTACAATGGCCAGAACAAAGAGAATGCCACATCCGCCATTGTTGCAGCTCCAAATGGAGCTAACCTGACCATCCTGGCAGATCAGTTCCATTTCGGGAACATAGCAGTTTTTGATGATCCCATTACCCCGGACAACAACCTTTACTCAAAGCCTATTGGCAGGGCTTAAGGCATGTGTCTTTATGATACCAAAAACACCTGCACCGCCTGGCTAGGCTTTTCATTTGTTCTTTACAGCACAGACTACCAGGGCACCATAAATTTCATTGGAGCTGATCCCCTAATGCAGAAGACCAGAGACATGGTTGGTGGCACTGGAGACTTCTTCATGCACAGGGGAATTGAAACTCTGATGACTGATTCCTTTAAAGGTGCAGTGTATTTCAGGCTCAAAGTTGATATCAAGTTCTATGAACACTGGTGAAAAAGAAAATAAAAAAAAAGGGGAAAATAAGTGAATGTGTTTGTTTCATAGCAGAATGTGATAGGGCAAGTGCTGAAATTTATTGAAACACGTATACAGTCCTCCATAATATGATTCTTGTTGACCCTTTTTCAGTTTCTGATTTCTTTGCCTCTTAACATTATGTCATATGGAAATCCTTTTGGATGTAGGTTGAACTACGAGAGATTTAACTATATCCCATCCAATAAATCACACTCTTTACTCCCAAGATTCGAACCTGATCATATATTCAAGTTGAAATTTCAAGTCTTAACTTGCAAGGACCAACGGGTCTTGTGTAGACCAAAGACAACTTACATGGTGTCAGAGATTAATGTAGGAAATAACAATAAATTTGGAGAATTACTCTAAAACAAAAGAAACCAATATTGCTGACCAACTTTATAATTCTTCATCCAAATTTTAAGAAAGGATACTTTCTGCTTGGCTATCGGATACATGTTCACCACAAGGGACAGGAGACAGTTCCAAAAAGGAATTCCATGCGTGTCTTGTTAAGCTCTTCATGTCTCAATTCTCTAATTTGCACAAATGTGCCTTGCCTTTACTCTTCTGCTTGTTGCCTTGTTATTGTTAGGAAAATGGGGTCCAATCCCATATAAGTGGTTTTGGATCAAGTAAAGCCCATGGGCCTTGATCTTTTATTTTACACAGAGCCCTAGCTACTTAATAAAAAAGAGGTGGGGTTGTTTTAGGTATGTGTCGAAAACCAAGCAGAAAAAGAAGAAAAGCCAAGAAAAACAGAGAGAGAAAAAGGAAAAGGGAGAGTTGGTTGAACGAAAGTCGATCCGTGGTCCGATTGAGTTGGAACCTTGTCAAGAGGTTTATGATTCAGAGTTCTACATTCTGAAAGGTGAAGATCGGGTTTGAAGCTCTCTAGGAATAAATTCAAGGTATATTTGTTGAGTCACTTATTTGGTGAGATTTCTCCAATTGTTTCTCTAGTTGTTAATTAGCTCTAGTTTTAGCTAAAGAAGAACTTTGTATAACTATTATTTGATAGTGAAGATTTTTCTGGTGGCCCGTGGTTTTTTCCCTCTACACTGGAGGGTTTTTCACGTAAATCTTGGTGTGCTTTATTTTTCCTGCGTATTTGATTATTGATTGTTGTCTATTGCTTATGTATTGTTGTGATTATTGCTTCAGGCACAACAAGTGGTATCAGAGCGAGGGTTATTTTGAGATATCGATACAGAAGCAACCCAAGATAAAAGTAAATTCTGTTTGGGATCATGGAGGGTGAAACAAAGTTCCATGATAAAATTGACAGCATCGAATTATTCAATTTGGAAGCCTATGATGGAGGATCATCTATACTGTAAAGATTTGTATGAGCCAGTATTGGGTGATTCGGCTAAACCAACAGATATAAAAGATGAAAGCTAGAAGAAGCTAGGTAGAAAAACGTTGGCTACAATCAGAAAATGGGTTGATATCAACGTGTTCCATCATGTAGCGCAGGAATCAGATGCTCACATTGTTTGAGAAAAATTGGCAGCATTGTATGAAAGAAAAATAAGTATGAATAAAGTTATACTTGTTAAAAAGCTTACAACTTTACAGTATAGGGATGGATGATCTGTTACAGAGCACTTGAGTGATTTTTAAGATATATTTAATCGGATGACTACTATGGAGCTTAAGATGGATGATGAAATGAAGGCATTATTTCTTTTGGGTTCATTGCCAGACAGCTGAAATACTCTAGTTGTGACTGTTCTTAATTCAGCTCTTGATTATAAAGTGACATTGGAGATGATAAAGGACAATATGCTTAATGAAGAAGCGAGGCGAAAAGATGTAGACCCTGGGAATCAAGCTCTAGTCACAGAGAATAGGGATAGAAACATCGACAAAGGTCAGGACTCAAAAAGTCGTGGTAAGTCTAAACATAGATCCAAGTCTAGAGGTAAAGTGAAGTGTTCCATTGTGGTAAGGCGGGTCATATAAAACGAAACTGTAAAATCTTAAAGCAAGAATGAAAAGATGAGAAAGGCAAGAGTTCAGATGATGACAATGTTGCAGCAGTGAATTCAGATAGTGATTCAGTTACTTTGATTTGTACACATGGTGATTGTAATCATGTTAGTGATTCCGGTATTGAGTGGATAGTTGACACAGGAGTGGCATATCATTGTGTTCCTAAGAGAGAGTTGTTTACAACTTACAAAGTAGGAGACTTTGAT